GGGGGGGGAGGGGGTAGGGCGGGGGGAGAAGAGCAACTCCTTTTACTTCTCCAAGTTGATCTCCCTACCTTTACAGGGTGTCCACCTATCAGCTCTTACTAGCTAAAGCATAATTAATGGCATACTAGAAAAATGCTTACTGCAAGTACCAATATTATAGTCATCTGTGGTCCTTTAGAAAGGAAATGTTAAGAAGGCTGAACTCAGCTAATTGGTGGTTTTATTGCATTTCATTGCTTTTTCTGTTTCTCTGAACAAGTAATTGGTGGCATTTACCATTAGAACAATTTGTAATATGGAACTTAGACAAACACAGATCTCTGATATGCAATGACTTCTGAAATTTGAGTTAAGATTATATGGAAGACAAATTTTCAGGGACCTAGGACTGACATACTGACACTACCTGAAAGCAGAGAAAGATGCCTGATTTCAGAAGGTAGCAACAACATTATTTATAAAAAATAACTAGTGTGGAACTTTTCACTGTATTCTTCATGCTTATTCCGACAGCTTCAAGTTTCAGCAGGCTTTTGGGTATAAGCCAGTTACTTATTGGTGGAAGTTAGGAAATACAGTATTAAATTACACAAATACCAACTAAAACTGTTTCAAAAGGAAGGGCAAGACATGCCATACAGAACTGCGGAATAACCCACTCATCTGGCAGTGTCTTCCCTCTGTGGTTTTATTGGGAAAGACCAACTGCATGCCTAATAAAATTTTCTTCATCATTCAAAGCAATGCTTGTGAGACAAATTAAAACTTTGTATGACTACTAATATTGCTAGCAGTGCTCTGCCTGAAAATTGGGCCAAAGACAAGACCTATATGCTGAAAGACTACTTAGAGAAACTACAATGTAAATTTATATTTGAAATTGTACTGGTAAGCAATTATGGAAAATAGTGTCTGTCCATACCTCCAAAGAGAGAAAATAGAAGCTAAAGCCACTAGGGGGAAAAAAAAAAAAAAAAAAAAAAAAAAAAAAAAAAAAGGTGATAGAGCC